CGCTATGAGTCGTGCTCAATTCCAAGGCAATCAACAACAACAACATGGCTCCATAGCAAAACCTTTCTACTTTGCCAGCCTTCCCCCAGATCCAACACTCCCTATCCAAGCTCCCTTTAAAAAAGGCACTCTAAACCTTTTCATCTTTATTTGGATGAATAACAGCACACAGCTGTTGGAGTTTTAACCCACATGCATGGTCAACAAAAAAAGTCATTGCCCACCTGTCCAAACAAATTGATTACATAGTTAAACTGGTCTAAACTGTGTCTCAAGGCACTGGCTATGGCTACCATTTTAGCACAAGAATCTCAAAACCTGACATTTTTCTCTCCCACAATTGTCTACTCACCTCATAATCTTTAAGATCTACTTTTTAGCCCTCCTTAAAGAATTAAGGCTCCAGGGCACCTTTCAGGATTATACTTGCACCCAGTTTCTTTCTTTTCCCCAATGTTACCTCATAGTATACTCCCCCTTTTTATAGTGACCCTGTATCTTTCCATTCTTTTCTCCAGCTCCGATACTTCTTCAATTAAGATGTCTAATATTACTGCCTACAAAGAAAATCTCTCCAACTGCTGGGTGTCGTCGTGTACCACAGAGTTGAAATCGACACACAGCTGACCTTCCTACGGGTTCTCAGAGGCAGGAGGAGATGGCCCATCCTTCTCCAGTGGAGCCTTGAACCTCGAGTCTTTAGGATTGCAGTGCAGCTTCTTGCCATGTCACTCTAATCCCTCAGCCCTCCTATAGAAGCACACCCTCTCAGCAGGGTTTTTTTCCGCATACTTGCCAATATCCCGTCCCTGTCCTCTAAGGCCCTCTCTAAAAGTCCTATGACATCACCCACTGCTTCTTGTGTACACCTCACCAATATGACTCAAAATGTTTCTAACTTCTCTGGCACTTCCCTTGTGCACCACTTCAGGCCGTACCTCGTGTATAAACGACACATATTGGAGCACTAAGCACATGGGAAGTCCTGGCTTCCTGTTCAACCTCCTCAAGCAAAGAACTTGAGCCCACAAAACTCATAAACCCCCTAAATTGGACTATATAGTGTGTCACTCTTAATTCTTCCACCTCCTCTATACCCAACTCCACTCAGTATTGACAGAGAGCTTGCTACTGGTTCCAATGGTATTAGCTGCACTGTGTGGAAGCCTGGCAACTCTTTACAAGATTTCATTTTGATTTCTCCCCTCCTCTAGCTGACAACCAATCTCTCCTCTCGAGAACACTTCCCTCATGCCAGTTTTTAAATTACACCTACCATTACACCAATCCTATTATAATCCCTTTTGAACTTGATCAAAGCCCCTTTCTCCACCCCTGCACCCTATATAATGTGGCTGTGTGACACCCTTCACAATGTTCTCTCATTGCAGAAAGCACTCGCTCTTCCAATACTAAACAACTTTCTTCAAAAGAGTGACTGCATTTTAGGCTTTCTTTCCTCTTCTCATATCTCTATTCTCAACAGCACACATGCACTTAGTTAACCCAGCCATCTCAAAAGCAAGTCTTGTGTCTAGTCACTGCAGGCATCACAGCCCCCTGAGGAACCTTTGCTTATCATTAGAAGACTCTACATGACTTAAGAGCAAGTACTGAAGAATCCCGACCAACATAGCCAACACACTGTCAAAACCATCTCTCAATTAACTTTAGATTTTCTTCTAGCAGAACAAAGTGGAGAATGTGCAGTTATAAATAAAACTTGTCACACATACATCACTAATTTGGGCATGGTGAAACTAGTATTAAAAAGATACATGACCAAGCAGTTATGGCTGATTTTTTATTACTTATCAAAACTCACTGGCTACTCCCTCAAATAAGTTCCTATTCTCTGTCTATTTCTCATACTTGGACCATGTATATTGAAGTGCTTTCTCAATTCTTTAAATAACAGAATTGAAGCCTTAACAAACTGGACAACAGAACAGTTCCTGTTAACCAGCTTTCAGTATCAACTAATTCCACTCAAGTCCCCTCTGACATAAGGCCGCTCCCCTGGCTTCACTCCATTTCAACAGGAAGTAGTTTTTAAAAGATCTTCGCCCCTTTCTCCCTTAAAGTTGGGACTATAAGGTTGAAACCAAAGTTATTCTATTTTACTGACCTTCTGATCCTACCTGAATGCATCTTTGTAATACAGGAAATAGTAAATAATCTGATTAATGTTTACCCCTAAATATGGTTTTAAGACCCATCCCAGGAGATAAAAGAGGGAGGGATAAAATACTAGAAAATGGCCCAGGTCCTTGAAACTGCTGTAACAAGCCAACATAGAATACATAAACACTCATCTCTGTTCTGTGTTGACCCCCACTGAGCCTCAGCCAGCTTTCACCTAAGTGTGCATTTTATTTTTTTTAAATTATTTTATTATTTTCTGTGTGTACCATCAAATCATATCTGACTGGTACAGGAAATTGTCCCTCCTTCTCCAACAGAGCATCTGGTGCACTGATTTGCAGTGCACTAAGTGTGCATTTTAAATAAAGCTATACACTTGGCTAGTGTTGCTTCTGGACTTCATAGTGAGTCTGGACCTTGTTGTTGTTGTTGTTGTGTTATGTGCCGTCGAGTCGCCTGCGACTCATAGCGACCCTATGTACAACAGCCCTAAACTCTGCTCTGTCCTGTGCCAATTGCACTGTCTCTGACACTCCCATCCCAATTATCCCAGTCACTGAATCAATCCACCTCATAGAGGGCCTTCCTCTCCTGCGCTGTCCCTCCACCCTCCCAAGCACGATGTCCCTCTCCAAGGACCGGTCTCTCCTCACAACATGTCCAAAGTATGTTAGATGGAGCCTCAGAATCCTTGCCTCCAAGGAGCCACCCGGTTTAACCCTTTCCAGGACAAATCTGTTTGTTCTCCTAGCAGTCCATGGTATTCTCAATACTCTTCTCCAGCACCACAGCTCAAAGGCATCAATTCTCCTTCTATCCTCCTTGGTCATTGTCCAGCTCTCTGATGCATAACAGGTGATTGCGAAGACCATGACCTTAGACTATCTAATTCACACTGGCAAAGCATTTAAAGGCTACATATGAAAATATTAACAAGGACTAAGTCTGGATGTTAAGATTATTCTTTTTAACAATACATATTTGCAAGCTTTCTACAGAGTACATGCATTTAAAAAAATAAGAAAAACACTGAAATTTTTAAAAAGCAAAAGGCCTACTCATCTATCTTTTCAGGGTAACAGAAAAGGGTGTTACCAGGGAGATGTGGCTCCTTGGAATATGTGTGAAAAGAAAACCTCGGGGGAGTGAGTGGGTGCTGGCAGCTTGAAGAGGGAAGAAAAGTCTCCCTTCAAATTACCACTAGATTCTCACTATCTCTCTTCCATGACTCCACTACTACACAAACACAAATGGTGTCCCAGAGAATAATAGCTCCCTGATTTCCAACCCAGCCTCCACAGAGTTACTAATGCTCTAAACACAGTGATTTTTCTATATTATTACAATAATTTCACCAACCTATCCTCTGCAAATAATTACCACAGTTCCTACTCATAAATGCCCAGGGTCACTTTAAGTCTAGCTGAAATGAATAATCCTCTGTAAAAGTGTTCCTAGAATTTCACTCCTCTAACTAGTAGATCAACCCTTACTTCAACAGGAAGTAACCACAGAATATGAGCTTTCCTCAATTTCCTCTTTAAAAATCAGGATTATGAAAACTGTCCAGGGAGAGTGATATAGGGGACTACTAAAGCTTACTTTGAGATGTCACTGACCACTCACCACAACTCTTCACAATATCCTATAATTGCCTTAAAGTTTGTTATCCATTAACATTTGGTAATTGCTAACCCTCCCTTGCGATAAGATACTGTTCTTTTTAGATTAATTTTCTGAAAACCTAATCTGATCACCAGTAGTAGTCAGTTCCTGTAATGTGTGTGGAATCATCATTTGTAACTGATAACTACCCAAGCAAAGTAAAGCTATATATCAGGCAGGGGAATCAAACCAGAGGACCTTGCTACATCGAGCATTCCTATCATCCATAGGAGATGTCTCTTGACCCAGAAGCCTCTGTAACAGTGTACAACTTGGAGAGTCTGCTTTCTGTACATTTAGTTATCATGATCTCTCCTATATGGGCATTTCATAGAATTTCTTACCTTCTCTTATGAATAAACATAAAATTCCTTCTCAATCTAAATCTTCATAAGAAAAAAAATTCTTTTATTCAATGAAATTGCTTCATTGTTTCATCCCTCCATTCTCCAAAGGCATTCCCAGTTAATTAGCTGCACCCTTAACTATGTCCTTTAATCACTTTAAAATATATTAGACATCTCACTGATGAATTATTATTGTATACTACATGAAACAATAGGATTTGAAGTCAGGAACTATATCTATTCCAATGCATTTAAAGTACTGCCTAACATACCATAGGTACTGAGTAAATATTTGATAAATTTTAATTAATATTAGGTCAGGCATAGATAAAACACTATGTAAATATTTGTTTTTAATATATATTTTTAGAATGTTTCATAAAATAATTTTAGGAGCGGAAAAACACTGATTAGCCCATACTAGTACTCTCTGAATAAAATCAATTAAGAGATTTAAGCTCTAACTATCTGAAAATAAAGTAAACAAAAATTCAAATACATGCTGGGCAGAAGGGAAGGTTTAACTAACAATATAGAACTATAACAAGTTAGAATTATCATCTTCAACTAGTAATGTAAGGATAACATATCATGGAGAAGTTTTGTTTTTTTCCTTCTAATATTGGCAGTGATGGTGGCTTGCACTATAAAGTGCTTTTTAAAATGTGTAAGTAATTGTGAATTTTATCTTCTCTTCAAAGTCAAATCAGTAAGAATGTCTGATAACCTGAAAAGACAGAAAGCTTAAGAGATCAATGGTAAGAATATATTATCTGGACATAATTCTCATTTCTATATATTTTACTTTTAATCAGACCTACCTAATGCCTAAGTTAAATTTACCTGAGCTAAAGTAGGGATTGAATTTTGACCAGTCTGTGTCTGCATATGAGCTGTTTCGCTCTCTGCCACAGAATCTGTTATACTTCCATCCTGCTGGGATTCAATTGTTTCCATGGTCATTTGTCTGAAAAGACAACAAAAATGAAGAAGTATTAAGGCCCTATCTGAAATATTCCTGGTTTTTTCCCCAGTTTTCTGGTATTAATTGCCAATACTCAATTGTCCCCTTATACTTTCAGCCCTGTTGCCTATGTTATCTAGCACTGCTGTCACATAAATACACAAGCAGATGACTTTAAGAAACAGAAATTTACTTTCTCCATTTAGGAGGTCAGAATTCTGAACCCAGGGTGCTAGCCCTAGAAGGCAGCCGGCTTTCTCTCTCCGCTGACTCTCAAGGAAGTTCCTCATACTTTTAGCTTCTGCTCCTGGTTCCAGGTTGATCTCCATGTGTCTTGGCATCTATCTTACCCCCTTTCTGCTTTGAGCCTGCCATTAAACTTTTATATCTCAATATATACCCTAAAGTAACCTTAACTCATTAACATAACAAAAATAATCCACTCTCAAATGGGATTATAATCACAGGCATAGAGATTATGATTTGCAACATGCATTTTTTTGGTATGAGTAAAGGCCAAAACTAGGTCTTTCTGGATTTATAATTTTGTGTATATATATCTGTATCTCTATAGATTAGATATAGATAATATAGATAGATACATAGATAGGTGGCTTAGCAGTAACAACTTGTTCTGCTAATCCAAAGGTACTGGGTTCAAATCCACCAATTGCTGAGAGAGTAAAAATGGTAATCTCCTTCCATAGGATTTAATGCCTCTGAAAATCAGCTGGAGGGTCAGTTCTGATTCCATAGTATACAACAAAATCACATGTATGTACAGAGATTTTCTATTACAAACATTCTGCCTATAACTCTCAAGCCTAATATATGCTTTATAAAACAATGCAGTGCAAAAGAACTCTCCATTTATAAACACATTATAACGTAAATATGGTCCTTACTTTATTAGCACCAAATAGTTTCTGATTTAAAGTCTCCCATACTGAGCCACTAAAGTTGACTAGTTGTCCTGTAGCTCCCTAGTTAATAAAAAAGGAGAGCTTAATTTTTCCAGAAAAGGGTTCTGATTTTTTAAAAAACATTTTCTGTGAATTTAAGTTAATGTCTGTGTCTCACGGTAGCCCTATGGAACAGGGCAGAAATGCCCTTTAGTATTTCCCAGGCTGTAAACTCTTATGAATGCTGACCACCACCTCTTTCTTCTGCAGAGTATTGGTGGATTAAAACATCTTCTGCAGGGTGTTGGTGGGTTAAAACAATCGATCTTTTGTTAGCTGCTGAATGTTTTCACCTCTGTGACACTCCAGATACCATACAGTCAACTCCACCTCACAGCAACTCCATGTGTCTAAGCAGAATTGTGGCCTAGAGGGCTTTTGACAGCTGATTTTTAAATTGTGAGGCCTTTCATTTATTTTTCACTTAATACTTGCTTTCGCATTTTAATAGCCATTATCTAAACCTTTCATTTCTATTTGTTGTCATCTTTAAATACCTAAAGGTTATGTCTCAATTTTCAAAATCATGTCCATACTTATAACTAAGAAGAACAATTTAGAATAGATTCAATAGCATTTCAAGAATTTATCTTACAACTAAACCATTTTCCTACAAGAAAGGTCTTAGCACAAATGTTTAGAAACAACAAATGTTATCTCATGATATTTTTTCATTTTTTCAAATTTATTTTATTAATTTTAATGAACATTTACAGAGATTTTGGATTTCCATTCATTCATTGTTGCACTTTTCTCCTTGCCCACTTCCCCCACCCACTCCCCGTCCCAGTTCGCTCCTCTCTTTGAAAAGTAAAATTCCTTCATTGGTATACAATCCCCCCACAAGCCCCCCCGCCGTGGCCCCAAGTACATTCCACTTTGCAACCTTAATTCTGGACTCTTGTGAGAACCATAATACCCTATCATATAGCGCTTTTAATCTGTTCTCTCCCTCATCTGTTTCAATGCGTATATATAAATTTATCTAGTTTTTCTCAGTCTTACCCCAACCCTGAGGTCAGTCTCATTCTACAACAGTGGCACCATGCAGAATTTGTCCTTTTGTGACTGAGATACTTGACTCAGCATAATGTCTTCCAGGATCACCCATTTTGAATAATATTGCATGAGTTCCTTGTTTTTCAATGCAGCGTAGTATTCCATTATGTGAATATACCACAGCTTCTCTATCCATTCGTTTGTTGATGGGCACTTAGGTTGTTTCCAACTACTTGCTATTGTGAATGAAGCCACGCTAAACGTGGGTGTGTCATGATATTTCTTGTACCTCACTTAAGATTCAATCAAGAACTTGTGTCTCAACCAAGGAGTCAGAAGCTGAAAAGCCACTTAGCTCTATTCATTTCAGAAACATTCATTTAAAAACACCTACATGAGGGTGAGAGAAACTGGAAGAATCTGGTATAAAAATGTATTCAAATGTAATTGAATTTGTAAATAAACTAGTATAACAAAAAAATAAAAAAAATAAAAGCACCTATATGACAGATCCTGGAAATAAATAAGTGGTTAAGTCAATGCCTGGAATCATTTAGCCTGAATGAACCCCCAGAAACTACGCCTGGACAGAAAGCTGAGGCAGCCATGGTGGCATAATGTAGAAAAGGATGGGAGGGAGAAAGGGTACAACTTAAGAATGTAAACAATGCCACTGATTTGATCTTGTGGATATTGTTAAACTGGTGCAATTTTGGTTGTGTATGCTTGCACATGCCTCTTTCTTAAAAGCCAACAACAATCACCACAGCGTGGATCAGAGACCTGGGAGGAAAGCCCAAAGCAAACAAACAAAGTTCATAAAAGACATACTGGGATCAAGCTTAGAAGCCCTAGTCTACAGTATAAAGAGACTGCCAAATATAGCCAGATTTAAAATCTATAGCCAGATTTAAAATCTGAAGAGGATAGGCTTAATGAGTGGGACCTTCTAAAGATTAAATTTCTGTGAGCATCAAAAAATTTTCCCCGAGGATGAAAAAAAAAACCTACGGACTAGGAACAAACATTTGACAATACCATCTCAGATAAGAGTCTCATAATGAAGGTTTACAGAATACTCTTGGGCCTCCACAAGAAAAAGACTGATGACCCAATTACAAAATTGGGCAAAAGACATGGAAATAATTTTCACCAACAAAGATATTCAAATGGCCAAAAGACATATCAAGAAATGTTCCAAATCATTGGCAATAAGAGAGATGCAAATCAAGACCACAATGAGATACCATCTCACTCCAGTAGCAGTGGCAAAGTATAACAGGACAAAAAGTAATAAATGTTGGAGAGGATGTGGCGAGATAGGAACTTTTTACATTGTTGGTGGGACTGTAAAATGGCACTCTGGAAGACAGTTTGGTGCTTCCTCAAAAAGCTGAACACAGAAATTCAAAAGACCCAGCTATTCCATTGCTTGGAATATACCCCAAGAAAAGGAGAACTGAGGCTCAAATGGAAACTTGTAAACAATGTTCACAGCAACATTATTCGCCATTGCAAGAACATGAAAACTGCCCAAATATCCAACCACAAACAAATGGATTGAGAAGATGTGGTATATTCATACAATGGAATACTATGCAGCATACAGGAGCAATGATTTTGTAAATTACTACCTAACTTAGGAGAACTGGAGAGCATTATGCCGAGTAAACTAACTCAGTCCCACAAGGATAAATACTGTATAAACCCATTATTATAGAATGAATATGAGGATACAAGTGGGAGGGAGGGTGAAAGCAGAGGGGTGAGGAAGTGGGGGATGGGGGTTGTTAATCACAGAATTGCACATTTTGATGGGTAGGGGTGTGAAGGAAATGGAAAGGATCTTTTGTGGAAAAACAATGTATTTAAACTTTGTAAATAAACTGTAAAGGTATTATTATATGAAAATCAGTATAAAATATTTTTTAAAAAGCCAACAATAAAAAAGCTCTTTTAAAAGATTGTTATTGTTGTTGTGTACCATCGAGTCAGAACAGACCCACAGGTGACCCTCCCAGAGGCAATTAATCGCAAAGAAGGTGACTGCCCATCCTCCCACAGAGAGGCTGGTGGATTCAAACCCCATGCCTTCGGGATTGCAGTGCAGCTTCTTGCCACTAGGTCACCAGTGCTCCCTTTTAAAAGATTAAATTATTTGCAATTTCAAAATACTTTTACACGTTGTTTTTATAAACATTATCCCATATGCTCACCTTGATTAGTTTCTCTTTTCTCCTGAACCTTTCCCAATATTCAATTCTTGCCTTTCTTCCTTTTTTGAATCCACATACAAAGCTGTCTTTGACTATCTGGAATGGCTCCTAAATTTCTATTCGTACCTCCGTCCTATTGAGCATCTCAGTCTGAAATTATCACAAACACCTGCCCCTTTTACTACTTTCAGTTATGAGCATCCACATCCACTTAAGCCCCAAAGGCAGAATCATGCTTTTTCAGGATGTCATGAGGACCCAAGCCTCTGAATATAGAAAGGCACCCTGGAAAGTTGGCAGCCACCCCATTCACTCTCCCACCAGACTCCTGACATTGTCCATTAACTTGCAACCCCAACACTGAACCAAGTAGCTCAGCTGCTGCTCCTCAAAACTGCTGCCACCCATTCATTCTAAAGAGTACAGACACTGGATCTCCAGAGCCTGAGCTATAAGTGAATGAAGGCTGTATCATAGCTGCCTGACCACCTTGATGCAGGCACGAATGCTGTTTTTACCCAAGAGTGATACCAATTAAACAGAAGCAACAAAAGGAAAGAGGACAAGAAAACTTAAGAGTATTGCGAAAATAGCAGTTAAAATGATGGGCCAAGGATTCTAAACTGAAATATGGAGGGAAATGAAGAGGAGGGAGCTCCTCGTAAGAGAGAAAGCAGAGACTAGTGGTCCAGAGAGTTCAACGTGGTGAAGAAGAGGTATGAGGGGGGTCACTGAGGGGAGGGGATGAGCTAGATGAACAGGATGTCAATAGTCTAAAAGCAAGATGTAAAAAATATGGGCATAGCAGAGAGCTGTTTCATGAAAT